GGTAGGAGAGGGCATGCATTTCCACAGGACCCTACAAACAAGTAGGTTCTGGGTTCTTAAGGTAGGCCTTTCAAGCCCTGCGCTCGTGAAAGCAAGAAAGTGTGCTTCGATTTGGGTGACACATGCACCAGCCGCCGACTAAGCCTGGAACAGTTGGTACAAACCAGGACCCAAATGATCGGCCGCCGTAACTTGCCTCGGCAGAGGCCTGAAGCTGTCGGTGAGCGAATTTAGGGTTTAGGGTTTAGGGTTTAGGCAACGAGAATTGAATCAGCAAGCAAACACGAAAGGCACCTGCCGGTCGCCGCCTGTCGCAGTAGCTTACTGGCTTTCTTTGCTACCCATGGAGAAATGCTCCCTAGAACAACGTTGGCCCGCAAACAAGATCATGAAAAGCCCACAAGTCGCAAGCCAACTACAACTCTAAAACATATATACACACACATGCATGCATGTGCGGATGGATACCTGCATGTGTCTGCCTGCCTGCGTGCCTATCTGTCTGTTCCTGTCTGTCTGGGTATGTCTGGGTCTGTCTGCGTCTGTCTGTCTGCTTGCCTGCATGCACGTATGCGCCACTATCACAAGACAGATCATCTCATGCAGCACTGCATGTTGCCAGGGAGATCTGTCCTGGCTCTTCGGAAGAGTCCACTCCGGTGTAGTGCCTTCCTGAGAACCTGGGAGCTCTCGCTTGGGTCTTTTCGGTTTTTTAAGGATTCTTTGGGGCGTAGGGATTCGGGCTTAGGAGGGTTTACGGTTCAGGGTTCAGGGATGTTAGGGATGTGGGGGCCGGTCTAAGGGTCCTTTGATCCTCGTGAGGAGATTCTACCCAACAACCTCCCTTGTGGCAAAATTTGGGACAAGTACTTTGAACAACTTCCAGTACCTGGAGTTCTCTGGCTTTTGGATTGTACTTCTGAGCTCCGGGCGAACGGGCTTCTTCCTCATGCCTTCTTCGTACTGCCTCACGTCAGGTTGGATCCCCGAGCTGCCGAAAGTGTCGCAAACACCCTAAGCCCTCAACTCTAAACCCTAAACCCTAAACCCTAAACCCTAAACCCTAAACCCTAAACCGATTCGTTCACGTCCTTTCCAGTTTGCCAAGCGGCCCAGGGCCGGGGTTCTTGACCCCAGGAAGGAGGCGCTGGAAGGCTTGGCTGCGATCCTGCGAGTCTCCATCCATACCGCTGCGGTTGTAGGGCTGAGGGTTTAGGGTTTAGGGTTGTAGGGCTGAGGGTTTTTAGTTTGTAGGGTTCTCACTGGCCAGGTAAGATGTTCCAGCACTGTGGGGCGTGGCCTCGTAGGGCATGAAGACCTGCTTCCTGACACGAGCATCAGGTGCGCGAAGAGTGCAACAGCTGCATAGCCCCCCGGGCAACATCTCTGCTGTGCTGCTTTGCCAAGCGATTCAGTGATGAGCTGTTTCGAAATGCGCATGAATCCTTACTGAAGTCCAGGATTTCCTGCATTCACATAGCTTTTAAACGACCATAAATACAGCCAATAACCCAGAAGCCTCCGACTCGGACGGTCAGAGAACATAAAGAGCCCTTGAGATTGCTGCTTGCCGAGCGTCACGCGCGCACTCCTTCGGGCTGTCAGGCTTGCGAAGGCTCAACAATGCCGAGAACTTCGAACCGGCAGAGGAATCCGTCGTCATCGCAACCAGCATCGTCATCACCACCGTCATCATCGTGAATCGCGGTCCACCCAGTGATAAAGAATGTCAGGCTCCTCGTCAGCCAACCAGATGGCACCTCCTGTGTCAGGCGCCACGCTCCATGATCTTGCAGTAAGACTCGACTAAAGCAAAAAAACACATCGACCGGCCTCATATCTCCGCTTGGTTGGAAAGTCGCGATCAACAGGATAGTGGCCCGGCCTCAGGTACTTAGAGACTTAGGGCTTGGAGAAGGTGGGGTTGGAGCTTCAACCGCAAGAAGGGCCAGGCGCCAGGTGGTCCGCAGAGGTCTTCGTCCTTCCGGGAGGTCAAGAGGCAACACCATGCCCGGAAAGGAGTCCCGGACTGCTAGCAAACGAGGACTAGTCGAAATCATCCAAGTCGACGTGAAGTGAATGCCATGAGCCGCAATGGTGTCCAGAAGAACGTTAGTAGACTCAGCACCAAATCTGAGCTACAATCTTGTATCGTGCTGAGCTACAATCTTGTATCGTGCTCTACTCGATGGTGTTCGAAAGTGCCTGCAGGCCTTCCTTCATTTTCCCAACCTTGTCTTGTGAAGCATGCCCAGTAGGATTACCAGAAGTGTCTCTCAAGATCTCTGCGAGCTGTTCACCGCTCGGCACATGCCTCGGAAGAGGTCGGCCGATATCCTCTCCAAAGGAGGTTTTGGAGATGGTGAAGCACGGCAAGTTCCTCAGATCTCCGCTCAAGTCTGCCCTCAGAACGGAAGTAAAGAGCCCCCCCAAACTGAGACAGCTGCCGATGAGTGGAGAAGTTGCCCAGATACTGCCTCAACTCCAAATACTCGGGGTAATCAGACCTCAGCTCAACACAAGCTTCCATCGGTTTTAGGAGCCCTGCAGTATAGGGTTCTAGTTCTGCAAGCAAGCAGGCTAGAGATCAGTCAAAGACTGTCAAGCTTATTCCGAGACTTTATGCGCCCGTTCATTTCCACACGGGCCATGAATTCAGTCTGTCGGGTTAAGTTTCGAGTTGGCGCGTGTTAGCTGCCTAGGTCAAGCGAACCTCGCCCCCTCCCCGATCATACCCCCGCATTGCTCGACGTAGGCGTGGCTAGGGCAAACAACAAACTCAGAAGTGGACAAACGATCCGAACCGTCCTAACTCAACTTCGCCTTCGTTCTTTCATAACGAGCACGGCAGCTCTCTTGCTTGTGTTGTGAGACTGGTGCAAAGCAGGATCCTGCGCGCACTGCTGACCATGAGCACGAGGCTCTCGTCTGCTCCTCTCGACGGCTCTTTCTCCAGACGGTTATTAAGCTGAGCTGTCGGCACGAGATCCATCGCTCACCTCCTGCAAAAACTTCGATTAAGCAAGATGATTGGCCTTATTTGCGATCGTTGCAAAGGTGAACTGCAGAAGGATGCCTAAGGACTAGCAGCGAAGCTGTGGACTCTGGAACCATGTGACAACCTTGAGCCTGCAGAGCGGCCGAAACAGACATCGCCACAGCCGATCTACTCAGAACCACACAACCTTAAGCCACAAGGTCTCTCCCCCCCCCTCCCCCCCCAAAAAAAATACCAAACCTTCCCTCCTCGGCCTCTTTGATTAGGCACTTTAGGCTCAAATCATGGGATTCGGACGCGAAGCCCCTTGCAACTTCTTTTTTCCCGAATGAAGCGATTTGAGGCCTTGTTCAGCCGCTTCAATGCCAGGGTTAGATCCATCGTCTCCGTGTCGCAGACTTGCCATGTGGACTTCTTTATCCCTGAAAAAACTGCATGGGCAAATAAGGATCATGGCAAAAGCCGCTTGACGAAGACACGGCAATCAATAAATAATACCAGCGGAGATGCAGTTCGCATACCATCAGCTCAATCGCAGCAGCTGCTTTCCCGTAGTCTAGACTCCGAAGCCTACTGCGGCTCCTTGCCCGTCAAGACTATTGAGAGCAGTGCAACTGAGCCGGAAGATCATTATCTGACTTGCTAGCGGTTCACACGAGGCCATCTTTCGTTGCATTGGAGGAGTCGCTGTCCTCGTCCCCCTTAGGTGTCGGACATCTTTGAAGATCACAGCGCCTACTGCTTTGGCAGGAGCATATATATATATATATATATATATATATATATAGCAGCAGTCCTCCGGAATCATGTCAGCATCTCTATTATGAGTTCAAGCGACACTGTAAGCGCAGTCTGATTCGGATTGGCGCGGTTCCTAACTTCATTACTTCATGGTTCCTAACTTCATTACTTCACTCCAGGCGCCGATGGCACCTCAAGGTCAGACGTGCAAGGTGGCATGTCGCGGTCGAAGCGGTGTAACCAAATACTCATCTCACATAACATGACATTCGTCCACTGTGGCAGTCCAAGGCTAAACCAACTGAACTAGCCCCGTCCCGCTTTTCTTTTCGAGGCAAGCAACAAATGAGAACTGCGGCAAGGAGTGAAGGCCCATCATGTCAGGTCCGAAGACGTGAGCACCTGTTCGCTTGGAGAGGGTATATTCCTTGTCATGTAGGGGCCTTAACAATTAGAATAGGGTTTTGGGGCCCAGTATACAAAAATAATAATCAGGAACCCCCAAAATAATATAGGTGATTATTCAGGCGCCTACGTTATATTCCTTGACTCTGGAGTTCACAAGACGTCTTTTTCACAACACCAGTTACTGGCAAGGTCTGCCAAGAGCTGAGTTTAAAAATGCACACGACAGGCAGAGCTACCCTAAACCCTAAACCCTAAACCCCAAACCCTAAACCCTAAACCCTAAACCCCAAACCCTAAACCCTAAACCCTTGTGCCCGAG